CAAGAAGACTTACATTTCAGCTCCTTCAATCACCATCTAGAGCAGGGTGGGCAAACTTTTTGACTCGAGGGCCACAATGGGTCCTTAAACTGGACCGGAGGGCCAGAACAAAAGCATGGATGGAGTGTTGTGTGAACTAATATAAATTCAAAGTAAACATCATTACATAAAAGGGTACGGTCTTTTTTTTTTTAGTTTTATTCATTTCAAACGGGCCAGATCCGGCCCGCGGGCCGTAGTTTGCCCACGGCTGATCTAGAGTCTTCTCATTCTGGTGGGATCACCCCTGTTGGCCCTGGTCTATCTGCAGAAGACCACCCTTCATCCCCCCTGGCTTCTTTGTGGACGAGCATCACCCCCTGTGTCCTTATAACCAACCTGTAACCCTTTTATCTCTGCCACGAATTTCCGGGAGGTCATTTTCTCAAGGTAGTCGCATCACTCGCGTTCATCTACATTTTAATGTGAGATTTTAGAGTTGAATAAAGCTCAGAAGTAACTTAGTTAAGCACCATTTCCTATGCATAAAAGCTTGATGTAACTCATGAGAAAGTTTCCAACCCCTTAAGGACATGGGAGTCACTGCTCCAGAGAAGACAGTCAGTCTTTCCATGTCTCCAGCTGTCAACAGCTCCTGCCCTGCACCGAAATGCACTCCCCTCCCTGTGACGTCCACTCCTGGCTCTCATTTTATCCGGCCACACAGAGCAAGCTTCCAGTCCCTTCTGGAGACACGTCCCAGGGTCCTGTCCCACATCCTCTTCCCCTGGACCAGGTCCTCCGACCCATCCTCAGGTCAAGTTCAGTGACCGAGCCGGTGGCTCATGGGACTGAAATAAGCAGACTGTGGACCCGTCACCTTCCCACTGAGGCCTTCAGCTCCTCGACGCCGACCTCACCAATCAGGATGCTCTCCTGGTGGCACCTGAAAAGAGCACCTAACAGATGGGCCTGCAGGGTACAACCACCAAATAACTGGGCTTCTAGGAACTGACAGCATTTTGAAAAACTC